CATAATCTAGGGTGAATGGAACTTCATTGTGAACATAATGCCGGTTTATTATACTGATGACGTTATGCATATGGGACCAGGTCATCAAGATGTAAACAATATTCTAGATGCTTTATTAAGACATAAATATGCAAGAGGGTGGGAAATAAATCCCAACTCAAAAGCCTGAACCTCAGTGAAGTGTTTAGATGGACTGAACCATATTGGGTATTCAACGGGTTGCTGCACCTCATACCATCTACCACAAAATAAGTATTTTCCTTTTGAGCAACAGTTTCTGGCTTGCTTCTAGGCTGTGGCAGTTGTAATGCCTGGTCATGGGGCACCAAGGAACGTCACCTGTCCCTGATAAATTGGGTACTACTTGATCATTCATTGGAAGTGGAATATTTGAGATTAGAGTCAAGCAGGTCTGGAAGGTACAGGAAGTTTGCTTGAACAGGTGGTTCACATCTCTGTGGCCCCTACTGCTACATAACAACCTTTCCCTCAATTCACACTTGTAACATCATAGGGAGTTCTTATGATAAGGTATATTAGTCAAGATATCCAAAGGAAGCAAATGTTAGACTATGGCTGGAAATAAGGAAAGTACAAATGAGCGGAATTTTTTTATATAGAGCTGTGAGCAAGATTAAGAGATTTAGCAATGAAGGAAGCCTTGAAGGACTAGCAAAAGTTGATATGGCCACAGGCTCTGCTAAGTACTCAACCTGGGAGAGGAAGACTGATGAAATCAAACCACATCTATCTAGAAAGGGCAGCAATTTGTTCTCAAATAGGTACTTATTTTGTACAGGGATTTTTTTTTTTTGAGACAGAGTCTCAAGCTGGGTAGAGTGCCATGGCATCATCTTAGCTCACAACAACCTCCAACTCTTGGGCTCAAGTGATCCTCTTGCCTCAGTTTTTCTTTTTTTTTAATTTTTTTTGAGACAGAACCTCACTTTATCACCCTTGGTAGAGTGCTGTGGTGTCATAGCTCACAGCAACCTCCAACTCCTGGGCTTAGGCGATTCTCTTGCCTCAGCCTCCCGAGCAGCTGGGACTACAGCTGCCCGCCACAATGCCTGGCTATTTTTTTGTTGCAGTTTGGCCGGGGCCAGGTTTGAACCCTCCACCCCCGGTATATGGCGCTGGCGCCCTACTCACTGAGGCACAGGCACTCAACTGCTTCAGTTTTTCTATTTTTAGTAGAGACAAGTTCTTGCTTTTAGCTCAGGCTGGTCTCGAACTCCTGAGCTCAGACAATCCATCCACCTTGGCCTCCCAGAGTGCTAGAATTACAGGCATGTGCCACTGAGCCCAGCCCTGGGATGTGCTTTTTTTTTTGAGACACAGTCTTACTTTGTCACCCCAGTAGAGTGCTGTGGCGTCACAGCTCACAACTTCAAACTCTCGAGCTTAAGTGATTCTCTTGCCTCAGCCTCCCAAGTAGCTGACATGACAGGTGCCTGCCACAATGCCTGGCTATTTTTTGTTGCATTTGTCATTGTTGTTTAACTGGGTCAGGCCAGGTTTAAACCCGCCATTCTTGGTGTATGTGGCTGGCACCATAACCACTGTGCAAGGGGTGTCAAGCTGGATTTGCTTTTTTATAACCAGTATTTCTGCTAGCACTCCCATGTGTGGACTTACTGAATCTGTCACTCACATTCACAATAGCAAGCACAACAGCACTTCTGATGAAGGAAATACATTATAAGGCAAAAGACAAATGGCAATGTGTTTATGCTGATGAGGTGCACTGGTTTAACTGTGTATCTTATCTAATCTTGAAGCAGGTGCCTTGATAGGATGATAAGATGGTTGATCTGTTAAAGATTCAGTTACTAACCTAGTAAGGTGAAAACGTGCTGAAAAGCAGAAGTTCTCATGTCTGATGGATGAGGAAGGATCTGATCTCTATATGATGACATCTTAGTGAAGGTCAAATGTTAATCACTAGCCTGGGTGTCAAATGTAGGATTTAATGCTGGTTTTTCTTTCTGGTTAGAGGAGATTCTACACAAGTCACATACCCACTTCTTGTCAAAACTTGTGTGATCTTTCACAAGGATAATAAAGAGTTAAAGCAGTAAAAAAACAAAAAGAAAGAAAGGTAGAGGTTCTGTCTTTTCGGAAACAGGTGACCCCTATGCAGTGCTGTTTCCCAATAGCCCAAATCTGTGAGGCTTTGAATCTAAGAAAGGATCAACTCCTAATACTCCACCTAGATGTTTTTTTCATCCTCATAGCTGTGAGCTCCACTAGTTAGGAGGTCTTGGTTCACTCAGGAGGAATGCTTCCACCAAGGACACAGTATTGATTTCAAGTTGAGACTGCCACCTGGCTATTGGGGATTCTTTAGGACAATGAATGAACAGGAAACCTGGTCCTACTGAACTGTCTCACATGATTCACCTTGATTATCAAGGGGAAGAAAGATTACTGTTTTTTTTTTTTTTTTTTTT